CTGACTTAATGTTTGCCACTACCAGCGTATGGGCCTCGAAAATGAGAAGCTTCGTGGACGTGATGATCGTGATGGTTCCCATGTTGACTGCAATACTTTGATAGAAATCACGGACTTGTTGTTCGGTAGGTGATGCCCCTGGAGGCGAAATGGCAAAAGCCATCTGCGCGATGGAGGTGACATTGTTATCCAAAATGGCTTGCACCTCTTCGCTGCTCAGTCCTGCCTTTGCTGCTCGCTCACGCAATGCTGCTGTCGAATGGATGAGCAAGGAGGCTTCTCTTGGGGCCGCAGCCATTGCTTCAAAGGATGTGTTAAGTACCAACAAAAGAGAAGTCAAAGTAGTGCCCTGACATGCTATTAAAATGTGCTTGTGTCCTGAGTCTAATTGGTGGTTCATAAAACTTATGAGACTTGTGCACGGTTGGCCAAAAATTGGCTGTGGCAAATGGTCAAAGCAATTGGAGGCATTCACAATCCAGTCAAATTACTTTCAAGCAAGGCAATACGACTAAATAGGTGGCTTTTCTTCTTTTTGTTGGATCCGTCAGGCTGCATTCAAGACACGGGTGCATCGTTTGCACTTCCGGTTCTCTAGGAAAGGCGTTGCCTCTATGACCCTGTGGTCTTTGGTGGCATGCAAACCGCAGTAAAAGATCTTGTCGGAACCCTCTTGCTGCAAGTGCACAATCTTACTCTGTACATGCTGATGCATAGTTCCAGACCCCCATGTGGATTTACAAACGTTGGGGTCATTGCCCCCTACCGCATGCCATTTCCTGGTCAAGCCATGCTCTGATTCCGTACTGTCAGAGTTGGAACCGGAGGAATCTGAACTGTCGGAAGAGGAACTTTGTGGTTCTCCTGGATCTTTCTGTCCATCTCTGGCACAATCCATTTTTGTGGGTTCTTGGATGTGTCCAGATCTTGTCAGGCCGGGATGAAGGGCTCCCATCCGGATCTTCCTCAGGACGTCCTCCATGGCCCGGAGAGGCGCAGAAAGCATGTCCCGCGAGTAAGTCTCAAGCGACCCTCTTTGCGTGCTGTGATGGCCTAGCACGAGCCTGTGATGTGGCTCTGCGCCCGCTTTGGCTAGCCAACTCAACACAGTACACTTAAGACTATGGGAGGTCACTTCGTCCAAATTGGACCCGTTGGGGCGAAGCAACTCCAAAAGCCACTTTGATGCCTCTGCAGCAGTGACGCTTCTTGATCCCCAGTTGCCAAACTTATCCGGCGCTGGTAGGATGGGACCTTTGAAAGTGTCATCGAAAATTCTGCCGACCTTCTTGGCAATCTTGTTCCATTCCAGGGCCCAACATGGTTTTTCGAGTCCCCAAATTGGGGCCACCAAAGGCAGGGGGAGACCGTGGCGAGCAACCTGTGCTGCAGTTTTGTGTGAAAACGTGGTGAACTCCATGTACCCAATCGTCCTCCCATCTACCTCATTGGTATCCAAAAAGAAATTGTTCACATGTCGCAAATCTGACCATCGGCAGCGCCCAAACAGAGCAAACAAAAAGGCACCCGCCGCAAACCGATCAACAAGATCTATGCTGGAGTTTCGCAAGACGGACTCCAGATAAATGACTTCGGACACTGTAAGGGGCCTAGCTTGTTTTCTGCGTGGCCTGGTCAAGGCCTTTTTATCCAGGATGCCTTTCACGAAGTTTGAAACAATGGGGACACTGGAGAAGCCACGGTGCCACAAACAGAATCGGAGCAAGCTGTTTGCACGTTTGGATATGGTGTTGGGGCTCCTGGCTCCGCGCAACACTCGTATCTGCTGCAAATTCCTGTCCATGTCTAGCGGGTCAAATTTGACCCCTGATGGGCAACTGCTTGGGCCTGACACCATCACAGTGTACAGCTTCTCAAGAGCCTTGTTCCACTTGGCATGATCCATCTCCAAATCCGAGAGGGTGTTGCGGAAGGCTATGGCCCTTTCATAGAGTCTGCAAGTGAAGGCATCGGTCCTGGCTCTCTTAGTGTGTGTTTCTGCTACAGCCTCAGGGGGCTGTGGCTCCACATTGGCTGGGTCAATTGAATGAGCAACTTGCGGGACTTCTGGTAGGGTGACAAGTGGGACGTCCCGTCCCCAAAGATGGTGGCCATAATTCCAGTGAAGCGCCAAGCATAGCTTGATGCACCATTGCATCTAAAGTGGCCCTGTCCTGGTCTGTCAACACATCGTCATGCGGAGGCTCGTCTTGTTCAGCTAGGTGTGAGCCCTCAATTGCTACTTCCCCATCCGAAACGGGCCGAGGTGTCTCCTCTCCAAAAAGGTTGTCCACATTGGACTGCTCTACAAGGGAGCTCTCAGGGCTTGCCGTGTCAATGCCTCCTGGCTGGCTTGGAGACACTTCTGAGTACGCATGCCCATGACGGTCTATGTCGCATGGCAACGGCAATGGAGTGCCCTGATCGGGGAAAGCATTCTCCGAATCCATGTTTTGAGCCTATTGGATGCGATTACCTAGCTTTGAGGCAAAACAAGAAGGCGCATGCTGTTCACTGCAAGTCTGCCGAATTCCATTGTCATACTTTGGCAAAGAAAATTTTGGGCACCACTCGAAAGCTCCGCTCTGGTCCGGTCTGAGGCACAAAAGTCTTCAACTATGCTGGCATGAGTTCAAAAGACAACCTCATACATCGAATCAGCAAGGATCTGGACCTCTATGAGGTATTTAAAGAGTTGCTGCTCATCCGGTTTGGTGCAGCTGAGAATGAGATGATCCAACAGGCTTCTAAAAGCGTCACAATGATCCCTGAACACAGGGGAGTGGTCCGACCTGAAAGTGGCCAGAGTTCCTTGCATATACAATGGTGACTTCTTTCGAGCTACCTGGCTCCTAAAGACATGAGGGTGGTCTTCTCTGTTGCTCCTGAACCACAATTTGGTGGTTTCCAGCTCGTGGTAAAAGTCCACAAAAATGTCAAAGTCAAAAAAAATCTTGTAAACATGCCTCGGTTTTCGAGACCACCCTTCGCCACTCTCCCCCATCGGTGAGGATGGTGGCCAAATGCACAGCAAGTGTGCCAATGTGCGGGCCGATTGGCAGGTCACGTCTCTCGGCTGAATGTGCCAAAGTGGCACTTGATCCACCTGCCTGCCCGTTCAGAGTCATCACAAGAGCACCTATTGCAAGGAAAGCCAAAAAGGACATTTTACCAAACTGAGCTTGTCTCATCACTGCCATGTTGTATCTTGCACTTCAAATCTCATGGATGCAATCTCTCGAGGCAGTCTCTGCGTTTCAACAAAGGATGGCACTGGTCAGGAGATGTCACGCCTGAAGGAAAGAGTGTACTATTCGACTGCCTAACTTAAAAGGTTCTAGAAAAGAATATTGGCATGCACTTCCGGCCAACCAATGTACGCACGCATAGTGGTGTCATCTGAGGAATTGACTACTGGATTCCTCGTTGTCTCCTCCACAAATAAGACCCTCCTTCGTCGGGCCTTATATGAACGGAGAGTCACTCGGTCACAAGTCATGTATCAAACGCGGCACACTCGTGCCATGTACATGAACATCTGTGACAAATAGTATGGCACTCACCCAACCATGAAATCACACCTGTGATGGACAAAAACCTGAGGTCACGGCTGCCACACCACCGAATCACCTGAAGGGTGGCATGCTCCCCCTTATCATGGATCCACATCAATGCACTCTCTCTTTGGCACCTGCCATACTCAAAAGAAACTGAGTGGGGGACACGTGTCACCAAGGCCTGAGCCCATTGGCTGGGTAATCGAATTCCCACCCCACTCGGGGACTCAGACTTTCTCACTCGAGAAGAGTCTGAGATTCCAACGAGATGAAAGAAGAGTTCGTGCCACCTGGCAACGATGAGTCTAAATAGAGAAGGCAAGAGAGCCTTACAGACTGATACACAATTTTTGACTTGGGGGCACATCTGACAGCCTGGCCTCAAAGTCCCTCGCATGTGCAGCTATCACGCCGCTTGAGATTGGGAAACCAAACAACGGACGGGGCGACCAAATTGTGTCAAATTTCTGCATACATGAATCTGAAAATTCTGAGTTTTTCATCCGAAAGACACGTCACTGTTTCCTTGAAAAACATTGCAAAAGTCTTGACAGACATCAAAGCTGCGCGCAAAACCCCCAAAAAGAATACAGCTTTTGTCGACATGAAATTTCAATCTGCGTCTGTGGCAGCGGATGGCTCTGGCTGAGTGCTGGGAGAATCTTGAAACCAAACTGAGCATTCAGGTGGCAGGCGCGGGGTGAGTGTCAATGGCTCACCATGGGCGATTGAACGTTCAAGACGGGAGATCCTATTCTCCAGTCGCGAAATCACAACGGATTGGGCGCTGACCAAATGCTCATACTGTTCTATGGCTCGAAAAGCAGAAACAAAGTGCAGATACATGCGCACTGGAAAGATTCCCTGGGCGCGTTGCTGATCCGGTGCAAGTAACAACCCGAACTGGGCTACACAACGTTGGAACTCGGTGTAGCTGGCAACTTGAACATAAAGCCGTCGCGGCCAGTCCAGTGCGGCCATGGTGGATCTTAGATCAATAGGTACGGAGTTGTTGAGAACTCGCACAAGCCCTGGCACATCGCAGTCTAAATGGAGGAATTGCAAAAGAAACTGTCTGAGAGTCAGGTTCATCAGGACATTCAAGACGACGCCTGTCCACGGGGTTGGAGGTGGACCGTGGAGATCAGCAGGCTCTGAGCCAGAGTCAGGTTGCAACGGCGGGTCAATGACCTTGTGATCCTCTTCAGCCATGTTGATGCCAAATTCCAACAGAAAGGCCAGAGAAAGGAAGCCCGTTACGAATGCAACTGTCAAGCAGGTGCGGGACGAAGTCGATGAGGTCCGAACCAGATCGTGGTACACAATGGAGCCACGATGTTGCATACACCCAGTGAACCGGCAAAGGACTCTATGGCGATAACGGATCGGTCGAAAAACTCAGTAACTTGCGTTGTGGGGCTCACTCGAGCCCACTGACCACGTGACCCATGAGTGTGTCACTCAACACGTACACTTCAAAATTGTGTCATGTTCTTTGACCCTATAAAGATATAGTGTCAAAAACATCATCTTTACTCAAAATAATATTCCATCAACACGTTGGGTTACATTATATAATCGAATATACGAATCCACTATGCAATATCCCAATCTCAAATGCATGCATCAATCAACCGCCCCTGTCTGATCATGAACATCCTATTTCAAGTGGCAACTGGGGGGCCATACCTGGAACCGTCCGTTGGGTGTCCGAAAGCGCACCAGCGGCGGGCTGTAGGGGTAGTCCTAGAATCCAACACCCTGGCCGCGTCAAGCACTGAATAGTCCCAGCCCGTCAACATTGATCAATATTGGATTCATTTATATGGGTCCCCAAGTAGATCCAATGTACTAAACCTTCTAAACCCGGGCTTTAGGTTGGTACTTATTAGATTTTATTAGTACCAGCGGCTGAACGGGGTGCAAGGAAACCGTCTGCCGTGTCCTTGGGGAAATCCAGCTCGCCCCAATAGACGCCACCCTCAAAGGGTGTATCACCAGGGCCCTGCATCAGGAAATGCCACCGGAACTCTCCGGCTTCATCTTGGCAGCGGCTGAAGAGGGCAACGAGTGGCAGCGTGTGACAACGAACTGCTTTTATATGGTGATGGGTTAGACCGGGAGATAAACATCCGTTTTCCGGCTATTTTGATGTTTCACCTAAAGTTTCACCCACCAAATATTTGATCCAAGTCTTATGATTTTGCAACAATACAGCAGCTTCTGTCGTCCTCGCCCTAAGCTCCTTCTGTCGTCCTCGCCCTAAGCTCCGTGCGCGCAACCCGGATAAACGGCGGCGGGTCCTCTCAACAAGCAGGACTGCAACGGTACACGACTATCCGTTAGAGTAGCAGCTACATAAACACCATCATGATTATTGAGACCAAAGCAGCAACACACCCATGTGGAAACAACATCTGGCATATCATAATTCTCAAACATAGCCCAAACAAGTTTGATAATCCCGATCCCCATCCTAATCAGTTGCAATCAATCGGTGTGTCTATGTCTATAATAGTTGCTACCTTTTTTAATGGCAATATTTCAAGATTTGTCTGACAATGGGCGCACCAAGTCCTGAATCATTGGGGGTCATCATCAACCAGCTATGGTTTATCATCATGAAATGATCATGAACGTATATGACAATTCTCGGACCCCCGCACAATCCATCCAAATTCTGGATGACTTATAATGACATAAAAAATAAAAAAAAAACTCATTCTCCTTGCCCAAGGACTTGGCTTTGCGCTGCAAGCGGGCACTGGCCGCCTTTGAGCGTCCCTTGGGCCTCCAATTCCATGAAAATTTGATTGGCTGATTGATAACTCATCTCAAACATACAACTCGAAACCCGAAGTCTAAGTTGATACAACTCAGACATGTCCAAATCCATATCCAAAGGCGATTGCAGAATCCACGCGCCCTGGTACTTGCTCAACACCTCACATCAAATCCGCATCCTTGTTGGTTACAATGGCTCTGGAACAAAACCTCGGTACCCTTGTGAGCATCCTTGTATAGCTTGCAAATGGATGTTCATTCAGATATAGGGAAATCATGGAAAAACACATGAAACACATCGAAAGTCCAGCTGCGGTCCAACGGAACGGCAACGTGACGCACCGCCCCTAGCCTTGCGACAGAACCCATCACCGGTAACCATCACCTTCCCCATGACTGGAGCCGATCGGCGTCACGACGAAGAGTTGTAGCACAGGGTTGGCAAACCATACTCCCCAACGGTTCATATGTTTGGGATTGTTTGGGTATGTTTGGGCATGTTTGGTGATGGTAAAGAGTTGAAAGTGTGCCATGGGTGTACAACAAATACAGCACCAAAGTGTCTTCAAGTGATCATGGTGGACATGCAGTGCTGTGGTGTCATAGCAGGCTTGATTTTTCCTCCGGCAGGTGTCCGACCGAATCCGTGAGAAAAACATGTTAAAACGAATCAAACCTTCGATCTTCATCTTTACGACCTATTGTGGACAACTCTATAAGATTCTATAAGCATATTTAGCGATTATTTAGCATCTTGTCCTGCAAAGTTCAAAGGCCTCAAGGCAACAAACCGCACGCTCAGGCCTTGGACAGAACCTGAAGTAGTCAGCAACTGGTGCAGTTAGCATGCACTGCATGTACCCATCCGTCTTGCACACTCATGCGATGGAATTAGGTGGTTCAACCCACCATGCCTACTATGGTTAAAGGGAAGAGCAATGGCAAAGGCATGTGTCGCTCTCGCTGTTCAAGAACTTGGAAGCCCCCAACGGGCCTCACAATGGGGGGTTAACAACGGGGCAAACAAGTTCAAGCTCGACGATGGCATGTTGGCAAGGCTGAGTCGGTCCAGGCTGCCTAAAGATTCAATGGTCATGTGGGTATGAGTCAAATTTGGGCACACTAAAAATGGATGGTTTAATACAGAACATCGCTGAACTATATGCGGAAAACCTTCTACTTAGGCATCTTAAATGTTGACTGATATCCTCCTACATCTAAGGTCGTAAGGAGAATACTGAAAGGTTATCCAACTTCCGCGGGCCAGCTTTTAGGCCAACAGGAAATCCAAAAGTCATATCAGCCGGGGCAAAAGATGTACCCCACCTTGCGCATCTCTGGAACAACCACACTGATGTATGTTGAACTGATCACTATGGAAACTCCATGCCATTCATGTGGAAACCTTGGTCTGACCCTTTGACCTTGCATTCATGTGGCTCCAGGAGGATGGAAAAACACTTCTGCTGGAAGCGTTGGAAGTGTGAATTATCACAGCTGGTGAGGACTCAACTAGCTTGGTCAAAGCACTCCTGTCTGGATGCCTGAGCCCAACCCGAACTGATATCTCGGCCAGAGCCAGTGCCGGTTCTAGAATTCAAGGTTTTCGCGCTAAAGCTGCAAGCAGATGCAAGCAAGAGAGCGCAGTCCTCAATTTCAAATTTCACGCTCAAACTTTCCCAGACCAAGCGACGGAACAAGGTCTGACACAAAGTTGACGAACCTGTGAACACCAAGCGGGGCCATCTAAAAGAATCTTTTGGGGTCCCTTTAAGACTGGTGACTTCTCATGACATGCTTTGCATGCCACACATCAACAGCTTGCCATTCAGATTAACAGCTGCCCTCACACAGCTCGTTTCAAGTTTTGGAACTTCTGTGATTTGCTTTTCACTTCGCAGTCGCTATCTTGGAGGAAAGTGATGGAGCTGTAACCTGCAGCTTCCTTGCAATGGAACTAGGCTTTCGCAACACGGACTGCTGATAAGCTGGCCTTCACACTTCAACGATACAGGTGGCTCCTTGGAAGTTGGATGTGTTGCCTTCGAAGCCTAAAACGGCTGTATCTCACGAGCATGAGACAATTTCCTCCACTGAATCTCCTTGCTCGCTCTCGTCTCAACAGGTGCAACCGGCTGCAAGATAGTGCAGAAGGCCCTTTCCAACTGTCTCCACGACAAAAGGATCTGAACATTGGACCGGCTCCATCAGGAGGGTGGTTCCAACTATAAGGGATGCTTCGATGGAGCTGTAGCCTGTAGCTTCCTTGCACTGGAACTAGGCTTTCCCAACACTGACCTCCTTATAAGCTGGCCTTCACACTTCAACGACACAGGTGGCTCCTTGGAAGTTGGATGTGTTACCTTCGAAGCCTAAAACGGCTGTATCTCACGAGGATGAAACAATTTCCTCCACTGAATCTCCTTGCTCGCTCTCGTCTCAACAGGTGCAACCGGCTGCAAGATAGTGCAGAAGGCCCTTTCCAACTGTCTCCACGACAAAAGGATCTGAACATTGGACCGGCTCCATCAGGAGGGTGGTTCCAACTATAAGGGATGCTTCGATGGAGCTGTAGCCTGTAGCTTCCTTGCACTGGAACTAGGCTTTCCCAACACTGACCTCCTTATAAGCTGGCCTTCACACTTCAACGATACAGGTGGCTCCTTGGAAGTTGGATGTGTTGCCTTCGAAGCCTAAAACGGCTGTATCTCACGAGCATGAGACAATTTCCTCCACTGAATCTCCTTGCTCGCTCTCGTCTCAACAGGTGCAACCGGCTGCAAGATAGTGCGGAAGGCCCTTTCCAACTGTCTCCACGACAAAAGGTCTGAACATTGGACCGACTCCATCAGGAGGGTGGTTCCAACTATAAGGGATGCTTCGATGGAGCTGTAGCCTGTAGCTTCCTTGCACTGGAACTAGGCTTTCCCAACACTGACTGCTGATAAGCTGGCCTTCACACTTCAACGATACAGGTGGCTCCTTGGAAGTTGGATGTGTTGCCTTCGAAGCCTAAAACGGCTGTATCTCACGAGCATGAAACAATTTCCTCCACTGAATCTCCTTGCTCGCTCTCGTCTCAACAGGTGCAACCGGCTGCAAGATAGTGCAGAAGGCCCTTTCCAACTGTCTCCACGACAAAGGGGTCTGAACATTGGACCGACTCCATCAGGAGGGCGGTTCCAACTATAAGGGATGCTTCAAATTCAGACTCCGCGAGCCTTTCCTTCCAAGGCACCTATGGCAGCGCAGATTGGAACAAATTTGAGCCTCCGATTCTCTTTCAGCTTTGAAACTGCTGAGCCCACTCCACGGAGATCAAATTCAAAACACCCTCACTCCCTACCGGACCGACCCTAGATATCAGCAATCTTGATACTCAAAGCCCTGTGTTTCCGTTGCAAGAAGAGACTTCGTTTTCATTGCAAGAAGAGATTTTTACAACAAAACATGGGCGCTCCCACATGTTTGTAAGCAGGCAAATCTTTCTGCTTTTATGAGTTCGCCTGATTTCATGAACTCTTGGACACTTCCGACCTCTTCGGGTAAAGACACTTACCAAAATTCGATGGCACATGAGCCTGATGCAAGATACCGCGGTTACAGCCAAGAAATTTCTGGTTTTTCGGTACAAGAACCAAGGTGAACCAATGTGAACCAAGCCACAAACAGGAAACATGGCTAACAACCGCAACAGTGCAGCAGCTAAGGTTGAGGCATGCTGAGGCTACACGATGCCATCCGCCGGTCACACTTTGTCTAGCTCCTAGACATTTGGTTATGTGGATCTCAAGAAGATGTGCAGTAGACAGGCGCAGTTGCCGTCTCTTCCAACGCACACTTCTGCCTGGCGTTACAGTCTGGTATGGCTCATGCCTCTCACCCCTGCAATCTTAAGATGTTTGAATTCAAGAACCATGCAAAGTCTGCCGCACCAAGCTGGGAACGTGGCTGCTCACAACCGCAACAGTGCAGCAGCTAAGGTTGAGGCATGCGCGGGTCACACTTTGTCTAGCTCCGCGATATTTGGCTAGGTGGATCTCAAGATGATGTAGACAGGGACAATTGCCGCCTGTTCCAACGCAAACATGGCAATCACAATCGCAACATTGAGCACCTAGGGTCGAAGCACCATCCAGCGGGAGCACTTGGCCCAACACTTCTGGATTTGGTTGTGTGGATTTCAATGGGAGGAAAGCAACAGTTCCTCTCGGTCTGTAGTGGCGC